TGTAGTAGTAGTGGTTGGTTGTTTGTGTGTGTGTGTGTGGGGGGGGGGGGGGGGGAGAATTCACATGTTTCCACTGTTGGCTCTGCCATTTGCTCTTGGGTTCAAAATGGTGGCACTGAGTTTTGTCCCCAGTGGCAATACGAGACAGAAAAGCATACTCTTCCTCATGGTATCGTTGCAAGTGACCCAGTGATGCAGCCATTCTCTGAGTCTTCTGTTCCTCTGTGAGTTGATGTGGAACCCACTGCATGCAAATTTTGCAGTACAGCAGGTGTTTTGTCACAATGGCATTTATGGAACCATGACTTATTCCCATCAAACGACTAATTTCTTCCACAGTGATCCGTCGGTTTGCCTGGATATGACCATTCAATGCAGCATTAACATCAGGAGTGATGACAAGATGAGGCTGTCCTGAGCGAGCATCATCTTGCAGTGACACATGTCCATCTTGGAATCACGTGACATGCTGTGTTCGCCGTAAACAACAGACATGCGACAATGAATTTCTCATCCTACTCCTTCAGCAGTCAAAAAGCACACTACACTTCGCTGTTCTTTACCCGCCTCCATTACCAATGTTGGACAACCACACGTAGTGCTAACCTTACTTCCAGCACAATAAACAAACGACTAGTGTGCAAGGGCATGTTGTCACTGTGCTTTCCCGAGTCCCCACCAGAAGTTCATACCATAAACAAATTCCAGTGTTACCAACTTGCCCGCCATGTGAGTTAAGCGTGGTGACCCATTTATATTTGACTGCCCCTTATAATTCAGTCTGTCAGTCCTTCAACTTGTAAGAATTAAAAAAACTTTGGAATGCCTTCACACATTTTATTAAATTTAATATTTGAGATTTTTGCAAAGAATAGTCAGGCAGTTTCAATTTTCATTTATAGTGGACAGTTCTAACTACCACTTTACATGTAGGCCTACACATGTTACTGTGTGTTTCTTGAGCGTAACTCACCACACATTTCAAACAAACATAGAGAATAATAAAAAACAAATATTATGTTCATTACACCTTTTCTGTAAGTCGTACAGTTTTTGAGATAATTAAATATATCACACAATGCATGCATTTCCCAATTTTTGTACTTGTCAGTCACCGTTGTCTCCTTATCACACATTAGACTTAGATTATTCATGCTTTCCAGTTATTTGTGCTGTTCTTCCTCTTCATTAGCATGGATAATCTGGATTTTTCACTTTGTTATATTTTGACTTCACATTATAAGAAATGCTGATAACTTATAAGTTTTTGGGCGTAATTTGTAATTTTGAATGTAAGTGTGCATGTTTTTGATGTCTCTTTGATTTATCTCTATTGGCCGTGCATTGCAGTATTGTAATAGCGTGTGGCCCAGCTGGCTGATATTTGCATTTTTTCAGTACTATAAGTTGAAATCGGGGTGCTTTCCTCACAGTACCAAGGGATTTAAAATCCCATATTCTCAGACAATAAAAGTTATTACCTTGTAAAGACATTAATTTTTATGTTGGTAATAAAAATATTTGTATATTCTAGTAATAATTGAATTTGGAGACTGTTCGTATTATCTGTTGTTAGATGATAAGATACTAAAAACACCCACTGTTATGTTACCTGTAGATGATCAGAGGTGACTGCAAACCACTGCCATACTTCATTAAATACAGTGAAACGTCCATGTTGTGAAAGTCATGGGAATGTGTTGTATGTATGTGTGCTTTATAGAGAATAATGCAGGTGCCTGGGTTCAGTCCTGAGTGACTTCAGGTGGTGTTTGTGATAGATGAAAAGGCACTGGAGCAAGGTTCCTTCTCCCCCCCCCACACACAAATTTCATTGGTTTTCTTTTATAATTATCCTTCCTCCATTGCTCCATTCTTAGCTATCACTGCGCCCTGAGGTGTGTGATAGCCTTGACCAGGCAGCACATTATAACATCCTCAGTCTTTAAGTCTGGGGCTTCATTTATGACATGACTTTTGTCTGATCATTGAGTAAGAAAGTTACATTTTTGTTTGTTTTTGTTCTTCTTTTATTAGTGGTTCTCGTAGCAATGTATTTGAAGAATGCAGTCTCTAGGAGTGTAATACCATGTGGGCTGGAAAGAGATCAGTGTTTGAGAGGAGCATATTACCTGCACCTTCAGGGTTCTCCAAACATGGGCTCTCTCCAGTGTGCATAGTCTTGCAACCCAGAAGACCATAATCTGCTTTGTTTTTATAGCTGATGCACATTAATTTCATATATCAGATGCACAGGATTATCTTCTTACACAGATTCAGGATGTGGAGGTTTTGTTACATGATGGGAATGTGCTTTTGTGAATGCTCAGTGAAAACCATAGGAAGCATGGAATGTATATATGTGAATATCCAGAAGAAACCATCAGATGTAACAGTAAAGTACACAGCTAACCCATGGTTCTTGGAAGAAACATCTGATGCCATAGTGCATCACAGAACAGTGGCTTAGCCCTGCTATGTGTATAAGCCTTTTCCAGATGAGTTGCATTAACCTCCTGGTATGCATGAAGTTTGAGATAATTTTATTTTATTGTTTTAGGATGGTCTCTATGAGTGCATCCTCTGTGCATGCTGTAGCACATCCTGCCCATCCTATTGGTGGAATGGAGATAAATATCTAGGACCAGCAGTTCTCATGCAAGTAAGTCCTGGTTTTATGTAAGTGAGGCATCTGTTCTGAGAGGAAGGAGAAAACTGACTCCATATAACAGGTTTGTCAACAGTAAATTGCTATTCTAGTAACACTTTGTAAGAGTGGAAAGTACAAAGGTGATGATATGAAGTGTATTCAGCACACTCACATTCATAAGCAGTATACAGTATTCTGAAAGTGACATCCTTCATAATCATTTGATTCCTATACTGATGCTTGGCTGACCATATTCTTCCTCTGTTGAGTGGCTTTGTGGGACTTTTATAAGGACACAACTTTTGCAATTTGATATAATATGTTTCCTAACAGTGGGGAACAGTGTGGCCCACAAATACAATTTGTATAACCCAAAACCTTCTCTTTCCATATAATTGGTGAGAAACTGCAGATGTTCTTGAAACATTAGATATCCCATACTTTCCAGTTACTAGTGGTGCACGTGGAAGTTTATCTGCCCCATTGGAACATTACATACCAACAGACAGTTATCCTTTCCTTAAACTGTCATAGCAAGGAACACCTTCAGTAGTCAGCTTATTTCAGACTTGTTCAGATATGGTGTATATATTTTACACGTGTACATACACAGTGACAGCAGTGAAGTCTTGGATGATTGGCTGTGTCACAAGAGAAAGAATTTCCAGTCTTTTAGATACTGTCTCTGCCTTCATCAGAAATTTATCTCATGAGTGACACAGCTGTTCCTTGTATATCATACAAATGTGTTCAGAGCCCAGTGTCCTTGTCTGTGAGTGAATGGATGCAGAAATAGTCTCTGAAATGTTGGAACCTCATTCCACATGAACACAGTTGATCACCTAAGTAAACTTTGTTGCATTCAGTCACTATGAAAGCTTCAAGTCTCAGAGAAGTTAAAAGTTACACCAATACTTACGCATATGTATGCTACATTACATGTTATTCTTATAGTTGCTGTATGTGAAGAGGATGAAACGGTAGGACACATCAAACTTAATTTTATATGGACATGCATATAAAGTTGATAACACTTGTCACAGTGCACACATTCGCTGTTATTTCTAATTTATTAGAAATTTCAGACACTTATGTAGTTCAAATCATATTATATAACTTAGACACTTCATATTTTATATGCCCTCCTATGCTGTGCTATGTTATGCTATGTTGTTTTACGCTAGGAAGAATTTCAATAGGATATTCTGGAGCTCCACCGAGTAATTTGCAGGGTAGTAGTTAGTGAGTAAGGCAGCCTTCCTGTTATGAACCTCTTCTGCTACTGAATAAACAGCTTTGATGTCAGCCACACTTTTCTGTTCAGTTCGTGAGAACACAAGAATCTAGCTCCCCTTGAAGCATTAAATGGCAACATTTTGTTGGAACTGTTGATATTTATGCCCAGTAGTGTAATCACCTGTTCCTTACTGCTAATGTTTTTCTCTTATATAGATCATCTTTGATCACAAATGCTATGTTTGGAAGCATGTTTCAGTAAATTCCCAGTTCATTTGCATTGTAAATATCCTAAGGCAGGCATGGCTGCAAAAATTTACCAACATTTTTATGAAGTAATGAACACAGTCAAGTTTAGTAGTTACTGCACAAATTGAAATTCTAATTCCAGGCATATCGCTGGATCATTGACTCACGCGATGAAGAAACAGAAGCAAGGTTGGGCAGGCTGAAGGACCCATTTTCTGTGTACCGTTGCCACACCATAATGAACTGTACTCGAACTTGTCCTAAGGTATGTAGTGTAGTGATGCTGCTCCACATTGTGTTAATCTTGTGTCATCTGACATCATTGTACTTTGTACTTAGCTGACAAGAATGCACCCCTCACTCCTTTGGCTTTTCTGTCCATATATTGCACTTTAGAGACTTAATGTCCTGAAGTAGTATGTTATTATAGTGTACAAGTGTCATTTATTGATTCTCCTTATTCATCTTTCACAGGGCTTGAATCCTGGGAAAGCTATTGCTGAAATCAAAAAGCTGCTATCAGGAATAGCCAAGAAGGATTTGCCAGGTCTAAATACAGCTGCTTTGCAGAATTAAATGTACACTAATGTGTTGTAATGCTATCGTGCATCTGTGTTTATTCATTATGATGAAGTAAGAAACTGTAGATCAGTATCTGAACAATAAACTGATGTGCATATTAAGATTTGGTAGATGTGTTATTGTAAATAGAGTTTTCGTTAAGATAATGTAAGAATGGACTACTTGGATATTTAATCAAGTAACAGTTCTTTCTAAAAGGGATATTTTGTAGTTAATAAAATATTTTGTAGCATGTAGTCATTTCATCTTTTGTTGTGAATGGTACACACCATTGGATGCTGGTAAAATTTGTTCCTACTATACATATATTTGTAATATTGTTAAGAATTCACCGGCACTGAGGCCATCATGTCTACTACATATATATATTGTGACATGTCTAACTGTTGCTGGGCAGCAGGAGGTGGAACGAGTTACCACGAAGACAGACCCTTGCTAAACAGTTGGTTGCCAAGTTACGCAACAGTAAGGAAAGCAGTGTTCCTCAGTGCCGTGCCAAGTAGAGCCAAAGTGAGCCGAACCAAGCCGAAGCGTGCTGGTTGCTATGCCGCGATAAACAACTCTCAGCAGCGTTCCCCAGTAACACCTGTAAACACGGTGTCACGCAACAGGGGAGCCCGTGTAACGACTGTTGCTAGGCAATTGGTAAACACAATGTTACGCAACAGTGGTACCTATCATGTAACTGTTTTCTCTGTTGTCCATGCCAAGCCTAAATAAGGAGCAGCGAGCACAATTCAGTAGTGAGTTACTAGAGAGAGAGTAACCAGTCAGTTGCAGTCTAGCCAGAGTGAATGGAAGTAGAAGTAAGTGTGATACTGCTGATGGCAGTAGTTGTGAAAGCGTGAATTGTGTAAATGTAAGAGCGAACATGCAATAAATTCGCTATATCCAGTATGGCGTGAAGTTATTTGTCGCGTGACATACCCAACACGTGACAATATATATTATTACTGTCTCACTCCTTAACCATCTTCTGTAATGTATCTGCCAGTGTATCGCTTTGTCACTGTCTGTATTTTCATTCCTCATGCCCTCTATCTATATCTAACTCCCTCTCACTCTTAGAAATCATATCTTTCTCCATATACTTCTGTCTTCTTTTCTTTATTTCTTGGTCACTTACAATCTACCTACATCAGTGTCTCTATTCCCCATTATCTTTCTGTTCCTTTCTGTAAATCTCAATCACTCTCTCTCTCTATCTGTAACACACTCTCTTTGTATCTGTGTTGCTCTCTCCCCACTTGTGTGTTTCTATTTATTTCTATCTACCCCAATCACTGTGTCTCAACATGTATCACCTTTATCCCTCTCCATATCTCATGTGTCTATCCCCATCTTTTTATCTCAGTCTCTCCACATAATTATGTTTCTCGGTCCCTATCATTCTCTACATTTCATCCACTCTATAACTATCTCCATGTATCAATATCAGTCTGTTTCTCTGTAACTATGCATCTACCTTGATCACTCTGTTTATGCATCACTTTCTAACCTTATCTCCCTCTCCTGTATCCATCCCTACCTATTTACCTCTACTTACCTCTGTCTATTTAATTATATCACTATCTCCATCTTATCCACTACCTATCTCTATCTTCACTTAACCACCTGTTGCTGTAGCTATCTTCATCTAGCTCTGTCCCCCTCTTTTGTTAGCTCTGTCCATCATTCTGAGTCTGTCCTGTTCTGTCTGTATCTGCCTCTTTCTCTTCTTATGTCTGCCTGTCTGTGTGCATCATGAGGTCTGTATGTGTACATCATTGTCACTGCATGTGTATGACTCCTTCTCTTTTCATAGTTGTGTGGTTCGCTGCACTCATGTCTGTATTTCTTGAGTATGTATGTGTGCCTCTGCTTGCGCGTGCACTTCCTCTCCACCATGTGTGCTTGCATAATTGTGTGTGAATGTCTGTGTTTCTCCATACATGTATATGTGGGTTTCTTTGACATGTATGTGCTTGTGTCTGGGTTTCTTTCAATGTGTCTGCAGATGCTGTGCATGTCCTTCTACTCTGTGCACACGTATGTATATATGTGTTTGCCTGTATGTATATTTCAATATGTGTGCTAGCCTGTGTTTCTGCAAGTGTATCTCCTTATTCATGAGTCTACCTTTGTATACATATGCTAACCCCCGTTTGCATGTGTCTCAATGTTGGGAACTGCATGTCACCGTGTCTGCACGTCTTCTTTCATATGTATCTCTGTGTGTGCATGCACGTGTAGATCTCAGTTTCTGTGTAAGTGTTGGTCTTTGTGTATGCGTACTTGTCTGTTTTTGCATGTCATTCCATGTTACAGTGTGTGTTCATGTCTCATGTATGTGCCTGTGCATATTATTTCTCTGCGGTTGTACATGATTGCGTGTCTCTCTGCATAAATGTAACTTTACATGCTTGTGTTTCTGGGCAAAGGTGACTGTCCCTGCATGTGTGTGTGGTTATCTGTACCCCCCCTTTTTTTAAATTTGCATAGTGGGGGGTGGAGTCCAACTGGGTCCATTTGGCACGGCAGCCACTGATTGGCCTATTGTAGCCTGCCCCGGGTGATTATGATGATGGAGAATTTGGTGGAATGAAGATTGGCAGGGGAAACCGAAGTACTCGGAGAAAACCCTCCCCAGCGCCACTTTGTCCACCACAAATACCACTTGACGAGACCTGGGATCGAACCCAGGCAGCCACAGTGGGAAGCCAGCAACTAACTGCTTGAGCTGTGGCACAGCCTATCTGTACCCCTTTCTCCATGCATATTTATCTCTGTACATATGCTTCTCCACATATGTATACACATCTCTACATGTGTGTTTCTCATTTCTATGTGTATGTATTTTTTCCCTGCTCTGTATGAGTGTGACTGTGTGCATTTACATGTCTATCTATAAGTGCCTATCTCTGTGTCTCTCCTCCTCTACTTATGTATATGGATCTCTTTTCTCTGCATGTCTTTCTTTGTGCGTGTGATTGTTTCTGCATCTTTGGGTGTCATTCCATGCTCCTGTGTCTGTCTGCACGTGTGTAAATATCTCTGCTTCTGTTTCACTATGTACAGGTGTGGGAATGTCTATGTGTTGGTGCACACGCATATTCATGGATGTGTGTGAAAAAGAATGCGCTTCTCAGCATGTGCATGTTTGTGTGTCTGGGTGAATATACCTCTGCATATGTGAATGTGCCATTTTGTATGTGTATTGCTCTGCATATTGTATATACATACTGCATTTCCATGGTTGTGCCTCTTTATGTATGTGTGCATGTGTCTTCTCACATTTGTGTATTATCGTGCTCTCTTTCTGCATGTGCTGAAGATGTCTCACTGTTTTCCATCATGCCTCTCCTCAACTAGTGTTCATAAGTGTCAGTGCATGTATGTGTGCATCTGAGAGCATGTGCATGTCTTCCACTTGTGTGTCTATGTGTTTCTGCTTTTATTCTCGTCATGCATTTTGGGGAATGTGATACCCCTGCATTGGAATACCTCTGCATGTACATGTCTCTCTTCCTGTATGCCTGCTAGTTTATGTGCTTGCCCACATCTGACTCTGCTCCTATGCGTTCTTGTCACTGTGTGCATGTCTATATGCATGAGTTTGTGTCTCTCTGCATGTATGTTTGTTTCACTGCTCCCTGGCGTTTGTTGCACTGCGTGTATATGCGTCGGTGTGAGAGTGTGCACCCTCTTTTGCTCTTGGTGATTGTGGGCTCTTTCACTGTGACAATTGTTGCTTTGTTTCTGGATCATAACCACAAATCCAACTTTTGTCACCCATTATGATCCTAAAGATGAGTAAAAGTTGGGTCCTCATTAGCTTTCTCTTGTAGCTCAAGACACGTATTTATGTGCCGCTGCGTTTGGTCATTTGTCAAGAGTCAGGGAACAGACTTCACAGCAATGTGATGCATTTTCAGATTTTCTATTAAGCTCTCCTGGCAATCTCCAGAACTGATCCCAGTGGTGTCTGCGAGCTCATGGATTGTTTGGTGACATTCTTTATGAATGAGTTTTGGAATTCTTTCAGCATTTTCTGTTTATTTGCTGGTGCTTGGTTGCCCTGAATGTTGGTCATCTTCAACTGACACTTGATCAGCCTTGAAACGTGAATACATTAAAAAACCGCTGTCCAGCTTAAAAAAAATGTTCTCCAAAAGCATCATGAAGCATTTCAAGGGTTTCATTAGCAGAATTACTGAGCTTTGGACAAAACTTTATGCAGACAAGTTGCTCAATTTTAATGACTTAATTATATCTGTAATTTCTCATATAGTTACTGGGGTCATATTTATGTTTGGAGAAGGTTATTTATACACCTCAAAAAAGTAACTTGAGTTAGATACATTAGTAGGTTTATTATATTGCATTTGATTTGGTGGCATTATAAAATAATTATTAAAATTGGCCATAGTTTGTGGTTTGGTATATGATTTCCCATCAATACTTAACTGATGATATTATATTTTTACTTGACTTGGTATTAGTTATAGATCTAGTGATACTCCAAGTAGTTTTAATTTTATTTTTAGAATTTGTGATAAGCCTACTATAATGATGCTTCTTTGCTAACTTTATGATATCAGATAAAATTTTACAATATTTCTTGTAGTATCTTACTAATTCAGGATTGTCAGTGTTTCTGCTGAGCACACACAATTCTCTTTTACGTACACATGATGTTTTAATTCTGGTTGTTAACCAGGTTGTATTTTTTTTTTGTTTAGAAAAATGTTTTTTATAAGGAAGACTATGATTAAATATTATTAAATAGGTATTAAGAAAATGATTAAACATTAGATTCACATCATCCTCTGTAGTAAATACATCAGCCCAAGTTTCACAATTAAGATTTAGCTTGAATTCTAATTTAGTAAATTCATTTATGTCTCTTGTACTAACAGAATAATTAGGTGAATTCAGGAATTTAAGATTATTCAATGTAAGAATTTGAGCATTGTGGTCTGATAATCCATTTGACAATGAATTTATTGAATAAATTTAATTTCTATGTTTATCAATAAAAATGTCAATAGCCATAGCCGAAAAATTGGTAACTCTAGTCGGAAAGTCCACGATACTACATAAAGTGTATTAAGCTAACAGTGAATCCAATTTTTGTTTTTTAGTACTGCCATCATCACATAATTAACATTTATATCTCCACATATAATAATATTTGACGAATTTGTGTATATTCATGTAAGAATTGATTGTAGATTATTTAAAAAGTATAAAAAATGTCCTGTTGGAGGTCAATATACAGTTAAAATACAGATATTAGAAGAAACATGATGTAGCTTTATTGCACAAATTTCAGTTTCCTGGTCAGTACAAAATTCATCCAGATCAGTAGGTGTAAATTGTAAGTTCTGATGAACAAAAGTACTTACACAACCATTCTTTCTGGATTTACGACAAAGTTATAGCATTTTATGACTGTACGTGTAATTTCAGGCTTAGTTAGGTGGTGTTCTTTGAAGCAGAATACATGGGGTAATTTAGATTCCCACTGGCTAAGTAATTCCTCAGTTTTATTATTTATTCCTCTGATATTCTGATGGTAAATCAATAGACTAGAATTTTTTTTGGAGGCATTTCTATTTATATGATCCTGATTTGTCTTATTTAAGCTAATATTATTCATTTTTATTTTTCATTAAGTTTGATGGGGGTGGACTAAATGGATCGTTACTGACTTTAAAATGTATATTTGTCATAAAAAATCGTTTAGCCTTGTCCTAGGAAGTTTCTTAATTCTCTTTGAAGTTCTATTAGACCAATTATCATTACATGATACCAACATATGAGTATTCTTACTCTGGACTCTGGACAGACAGTCTCAATAGAGCTGTCTGCTACAAGAGGGTCATTAAGAAATGATGTGTTAGATAGCCAGCCCAATACAAGAGGAGAGTTTGTCTTTTTTCAAACAATAACTGTACAGTAGATGCTATTTGCTTTGCAAGATGAGCTTACTGAAATGTAATCCATGCTTCATAAAATAACTTTGATTTGTATTAGATTCTATAAATTTAATATGATTAAAGGCCTGAGCTATCTTATATAACTTACTATTATATTTCCTTTTATCTCTTTCTGTAACTTTTTATTCATTTTTATGTTTCGTCCTCTTGAATGCTTATTACTCATAACTTATATTGTTATGTTATGGTGTGGGAACGTGTTTACTGAGCCACTGCTTAACAGTGTACATTTTCTCTGCCTCCACTTTTCTGGCTTTCATGCGTCATGTCACAATATCTTACAGGATAATTCTGATCTTAACTGTCCTGATTTAAGAAGTGATTTAGAAGAATCTATAGACTGAGAGAGACTGGATGCACAAGTGAAGAAGACAGTAAATAGGTAAGTAGAAAAGTAAAGGTATCCCTGTAACAGGCTGTGGAGGCCAATAGGGTTGTGAAATGTTGAGGTTCCCACATTTTCTAGACAGTCGGCTCAATGATGGCGGCAAGGTTGTCAGCGCTACATGATGACTGGCCTTTACCCCCAGCAATATTCCTGGTACTCATTTCTGTTAGAGACTGCGTTGACCCCAGGGCCATAGTGTGGCTGGAAGGATTAGGTCAATTGGAAAAAAAAAAAAATGACCACATCGGGACTTGAATCCCCCGACCTTCTGGCTTGTATCATAGTGCCTCAACCAACTATGCTACCGTGTCAAAATGACATATTCCCCAGCCATCTCTTCCTCCTTCACCTGATTCTAATAATATTTTTAGGAGCACAAATTATGAACCAAGTAATAGTATACTAAATTGTTTATTTGTTTGCGTTCTTTACAGGAAAATAATGAAAAAAGAGTAAGGCATGGAAAATACATATAACAGCAAAATAACATAAGAACTGCCATTAATATCATCATCATTGTTGCTATTATTATTATTGTAACTAGGGTCAACAAAAGTTATCTCAGTTTACCAATTAAATAAAACACATGTCAGGGTCCCATACACAATTCCTTACAAACAAAAAAATGGTATGCAACAATACATTCTTCTGGGTTGCAATATGATGTGGTTTGGTAGAAGTCTACTGACATTTTGGGGTCACATGCTGACTTCATTTTCAAGGTGCAGTAAGCCAAGGAAGAAACCAGTAAGAAGCAGGAGGCTAGCAGAATGAATCATGTGTAGAAAACCAAGCCTCATACAGGCCAGAAAGGAACTGCAAGAGAGTCAATGGGTCTGTAAGGGGATTCAGAGAGAACCAGCAAGAGTCTTGGAGGAAGTATCTTGGTCTGGCTCTTACCAAACTACACGTCATCACAGCCAAGAACATACTTTCATAGTTACTGCTGTGAGAACTTCAAATCCAGAGCCTTTTTCTTCCATGAGTTTCAAATTTTTACTCATTCTAAATAAGTGAGCTTAGACTTTTGTTGACCTTTGACTGTTCTTTATACATTCCTATTCTTTACAGTTAAAACAGAAGCAATGAAATGTCCACTTATTTTAAATGAATTTTTAGTCCCTTTCTGTAAGTTCAGTTATCTAATTAATCACAATACACTTATGTACCCACAAATACATTAGTTTTGACACATGTACTGAAGCCTCATACAGTCAGAGCTTGTGGACAAAGTATGATAAGAACTGAAAACAATGACAGTTGAGTGAGATAATTCAAAACATGTTACCCCTGCTCCGAAAAAATAAATTATGTAAGGATCTTACACGGTACTCCTGCAATAACATATAGTTATCATTTGATGTTCACAGTGGGCCATGTGCAGTGGACTCCACTTGCAAGGTATACACAAACATCAGCCACTCTTGTTTGCAAAACATGCACAAAAGTCACTCAGAGAACTGCAGAAAAATATTAACATTTATTATCGCATAAAAGATTATTATTATTACTATTATCCTCTAATTCTCGTCCAGCACTTTTCCAAAGTGAACAATCACCCTTCTCTAAAAATCAAGAAATATTGAAAAAAAATATACAGAGCCACAGAAAAGCATTAACATTTATTACTGCATAGAATATTATTATTATCATCATCCTCTAATTCTTGTCCAGTGCTTTTTCAAAGTGAACAATCATCACCCTTCTCTAAAAATTAAGAAATCTTGAAGTTGCTGTAAAATATCTTTAGTTAATGGAAGTTCTTTCACATGATCACCAAATGTAATGCAGATACAATACAGACTCCGCTTCACAGCAGATCGTAAAGCAGCCTTCATTTTTATATTGTGATGCTCAGTTCTTTGAGACCTCTTATAATTTCCCATCTTCTGAAGTTTGTCCAAAGCCTGTTTCAACTGAAATAAAGATGTGATGATGGCTGGCAAATCTTTCTGCACAACCCCATAACTATCTTCTTTGAAAGATGCTGCTGCCAGGTGAGACAATCCCTGGACAGCCCAAATCACTGGCTGGCACTGAGCCAAATGATATCTCACCTTAGCATCAGGAAGTTCACCAAATATGAAAGAAATACCAGGTTTTCTGCGTAATGCATCCAAAGCTTGAGTGGCATGCAATTTGATAGTCCTAATTATAGATTCCTGAGATATGCTGACTGGGGGTGACTGGAATTGAGCAATATTTGATGAAGACTGACAGAGATATATATCAGACATATTCTGAACTCTCAAGGACATGTTTCTCATTCCAGATATTGAAGTACTGTGGTTTCCAGCTGAGACAACTACAGAACTCTTCGAAGAAAAATAATCTTTGCTTTCTGGTACAGGTTGTGTTTCAGTATTTGCTTTATTTATGTCTTCTGTGAATTTTCTTATAAGTTTTAAACTTTCTTCTACTACAGCATTCCAATTGTAAGGATGTCCACCAGGATGACTTAAAGTAAACAATTCTTCTCTTCTTCTGTGGTCCTTCTCAGCCAAAATCTTAAGATCTAGGAAACCCAGGTACTGAATAATGGGGATGTCTGTCACAGCCAGACTTTTATGCAATGTAAGGCAATCAGAATTTCTGTATACAGGCGAGACTAAGAAAACAAGGTGTTCAGTCAAATGCACTTCAAACATCAGTATCATAGTGTAAATGGTGAAGATGAAGATTCCAGAAAAACACCATGCATAGAACACTAGGGAAATGTTCATCAGTCCAAACACTGTCTCTAGAGATTTATCTTCTACATTATAGTCCATAATATCACTGACATAATCTCGGATAGCTCCTCCATTCCAGAAATACATTACAGTGAAATATATGGTTGGTGAAACAGCATCAATCATTGCTTGTTTTATGAGTGGTTGCAATTCTGCTTTTACCTGCACGAACTTCAACTGCTGAATTACTGGGAACAACAAAGTTCTTGGGCCAAAAATATAATCATGTACAAAGAAATAGATACCAATCCAAAAACCATTTAACATTAGAAACAAATATCCTTCAATTAAACAAGTCTTATTACCATCACTGCTACACAGAGCAGCAATCTTCCCATACTTTCCTCCGACCAGAGACACATATATCCAAGTGATGCATCCACTAATAACAGCGTACAAAGCGCCCATTATCAAGGCATGAGGTGAGACCATATTACAAAAAATGGCAAATCGAGTTCCACAGTATCTGCTGACCACCATAAAATCTTTGCAACACACTATACCTTGTGCACAAATTACCAGACCAAGAGGAAACAAGTACAACCAAGTTCCCCAAGACAAACAGAGGCCGGCACACTGTTCAATCCACAAGAAAGGATGCCACAGATTGAAATTCATTATGAACAAGACCATGAACAAGATCACTGAGTGTAGAACGAAGCTCCAAAATACAGCTGCAGTTGCTCTCCATAAGAGAATTTCTCTACAAGACATGTTATTAGTCGTCACTTCCATTTTAGGTTAGACTTCACTTCGTTTTGCTGCAGACGTTTTCATAAACCAGCAGAGAAGAAGACATCAAGTTCGCAATATTATAATCAACACTAGAAGAAGTAGATTCATACATAAGATACATCAGCACATTACAAACAACACCGAATTTGCAAAACTTCATGAGAAATTATCAATTATCGCGCCAATTGCCCTGCACAACTTTATTTCTACAGGCTCGTAATGCATACACTTTACTTCCCTACTTTCTTCGATTCGCAACACGCAATTTCCCCGATTTCCCCGAATTGGTCAATTGTAGAACTGTTTTCAAGAACCTGATAATTATTATTATTATTATTATTATTATTATTATTATTATTATTATTATTATTATTATTATTATAGGTTGGTTTGACCTTGTATGGATTAACAGAATGCAAATAAATGAATGAATGAATTATTTTTGTTGTTCATAAACTCTGATTTCTGAGTCGTTATCGCTAGTGACATCCAAATCTAGTTGTATGTATGTATAAAATCTTTGTTAACCTACACGCTTCAATTTGATTTCTAAAATTGGCACTTTTAAAAAACTTCAATTCAAATTAAAATGTCTAAAAATTTTCTGTTCTTTTTCTTTTTCCAAATTTTTAAAAATTAAAATTTCTCAGGGTACACGCCCTATGTCTATAGTGCTGCAGCGGCCACTTCTTGTTTTATCGCTGTTCAGGTATTGTTCTGTGTAGGCTCTCTCTGAAAGACTGGTGATTTTAAATTTTAAACTACGGGCAGTGTAGCAGCTACGTAAGAATACACACCTGATGATGGCCATTTAGGGCCGAAACGTATAGTGTGGAGGAAGGGAAGAAGAAAGAACTACAATTAAATTGTTGCACTTAAGAAGGAGTTTGTCACATATATATTGTGTGAGTGTAACAGGATGCTTAAATATAATATTAAAATGGATCTTAGAGAGATAGGATGGGATGAAGTGGATTGAGCTGACTCAGGATATGGACCAGTGGATGACTCTTGTGAACACGGTAATGAACCTTCGGGTTCCATAAAATGCTGGGAAATACTTGAGTAGCTGCAGATTTGGTTTCTCCTCAAGAAGGGCTCAGCTCCATAAGTATGTAAGTATCAAACTCTACTTATTGTAATGGAATGACTCTCTGCAATCCTTTCCTTTAGGACCTTTGGGAATAAATAAAAGCGCCTATGAACATTCGATTTTTAATGTAGTGAAGAAATCATTCTTATAACAGCAGTGGAATCCAGTAAAAAAAAAAAAAGCAATATTGTGGTGTATATACCCGTTGCTAGACAACACCCGCAAAATTCACACGGCCAACAGTATGAGAACAGTGTTTTCTTCGTCCGCGGATGGGCTGTCGCTATGCAAAGCCACACTGCAATGTCAAACAGAAATATGTGTCACGTGCACCTGCTAGAATAGATTTTCATCTAAAGCTTAAGAGCTCAGTGATGTCAACATCATTCCAGGCACAGCCTGGAGATTTATATATGGTTTCAAGTAGAACTTCACTATTACCAATTGGTATGTAGACCCTGTCGCTTCTATTGAGATGAGAGGTGGTAAGTCTACATGGCTGTGGGGAATGCCTTTTCTAATTGCAACAGCAGTTCCACCTTTTCTGCCCAGGTAGCGATCGGTTCGATAAAAGTGATAATTTGGAATAATGAACCTCTCATGATGTTTCAGATGTCTCTGAAAACCGAGCAACATCTACATGCAGGTTTTACAGCTGTTTACTGAGCTCATAGGGCTGCCTCACAATGCCATTCACATTAAATGCTATGACTTTGAGGGGCCTATGAGTTCTAGTGGCCACTTTGCTCTATGACATTTAAGAAAATTTTTGTAATGGCCAATATTTTAGCCTCCTCTAACAGAGCATCATTAGACTCTGTCATAATCTGCTGTATTACCGTTACTACTATTTTCAACATTTTGTCCAGAGACGAGCTGCTTACATTTGGTGCCCGAACTGACTGACCTGTTGCCTGCTGTTCGTGTTTGGGTAAGGCGGCAGGGACCCTGGGTTCCATCATGGCAGGACCTCCCACTGCTGCCTGATGTGTCTGAGGCTGCAATTTTTCCTGTCTTGACTCGGAGCACCACCGCGAAGAACACTCCTGGAGTGGTGAGGTTTGAAGAGAACACCCTTCCTGTTGTAGCCCTGGGTGTCTTCTGCAATTTCTCTTTCTGCATCTCCTCCTTCACGTGTCTGCAGCCACGATAATCACGGGATGGAGGTTTTCTTCTTCTGCCAACCGACAGTTGCAACATGTTGGGATGGAAGACATATTCCCTTGTGGCATTCCTTGTGCAGGTAGCCTCCTCCGCACCACAAGCAGCGGGGGGTTGCTTGCAGTTTGCCCAGACATGGCCGAACTGCTGGCAGTTATGGCACTGCGTAAGACCATTCTGAGCTCTATATGCCTCCAACCTGATCGTGATGTGGCAGAGAGTTTGCAGTCAGAAAATTTCTTGGGATTTTGCTGTCCTCAGCAAGGTTATCAGGAAGAGGTGGTTTATGGTTGTTGATCCGTCAGAGGGTGACAAGTGGGTGGCTGTAAACTGCTTGACACTAATAACTAAACCCGAGGCTCACCAGCTAGTCTGATATGTATCCTACAGGGATGTTGTGTGGCAGGTGAAATATCACCGCCTTCATAGGTTTTTCGGATTCAGGATAGAACGAGTAATAGGACATGTTATTGGTGTCGAAGTGGGATTGCACGGACTGGAAATCCGCCATGCCTCTCGTGATGACTTTGGTTCCTTTTCTAGTGCTATGGAACTCAAAGTTTTCTTTGACCACACTTTACAGTTGTTTTTACAACTGAATCACGTTAGTGGTAGATCTTAGGTTTATTGGAGGCTGCCTTCCTGATTTTCCAGGATCTGCCTTCTCATTTGAAGGGCCTCAGTGCCGGAAGCGTCTGTGTCCATAACCGCTGCCCTGAGGGGGGGGGGGCGAAAAAATTTTGTGACGACTTCCTTGGGTGGGATATTTAGGGTGGGCGACGTTTTGGTCTGCACTGCCACTTTCTTTGGTGATCTGTCGGTTTCGTTGGTGGCGCACCGCTTCCGCCTCTTTACTCCTTGGAAACTGCCCTCCTGCGTTGTTTGTTGCCCTGTTGTGTTTTGTAGGTTAGTTTGGCCTGCTAGGGTGCTCGCCTTGAGCACGGCCTTTAACTCTTGTAACATTACTGTAAAAGTGCTGTACAGGGCACTAAAAAGTGGTTTCCCTTAAGACCTTTGCAGTAGCTCGCTCTGTTTCCTTCCGCTGCATTTAAAATGCTAGCTCATTCCGCACTTCTCCCTGCAGAGACTGGGATGTGCCTTGCCACGTCCTCAATGTCGCCCAGCAATTTAATGAGCTGTTTTAGTTGTGCTTCCGTTTCGGGATATTGTCGCAACAATGTGTGGTATTCTGACTTCAGTGTAGAAAGTTTATTCGTCCAAAGTGTTTGGTATCCCGGCACCGGGGCGTCCCCCATCTTGGATACGATATTCGCTTTTCACTTTCCTCCCTCGTTCCGATTCCCCCCCCCCGAGAATGGCACAAGCCCGCGGTAGTGCCGCAGTTAACGGTGAACACAAAAATGCAGCCGAATGCTGTGATTGCACAAGTAAAATAAGATAATGTTTCGTCTAACAATTACACCTAATGTTCTATGGAGTACTGACTGTAACACTTGTTAACCTCTACTCGAATTCTCGCTCTTTCAACGACTCCTCTGTCTCTCATTAATATCGAAAACTCTGAGAACTCGTCTCTTGTTGCAGTTGGACTCTTCTAACTTCCACGCGGACTTGATAGGGAATGCCATCTCGAAGGGTTCATTCCGCTCGCTGCTATCGAAATATTGCTTCAATAATTCGTGTGTAACGGTGGAAACTGGCCGCGCCATAGCTCAAGCGGTTAGTCGCTGGCTTCCCACTGCGGCGGCCCGGGTCTGGTCAAGTGGGATTTGTGGTGGACAGCGTGGCGCTGGGGCCGGTTTTCTCCAAGTACTTCGGTTTCCCTTGCCAATCTTCATTCCACCAATTTCTCCATCATCATAATCACTCGGGGCAGACTACAATAGGCCAATCAGTGGCCGCCGTGCCGAGTGGACCCAGTTGGACTCCACCCCCCACTAAGCGAAATCTAAACAGTGAAAACTCCACTGTTAGGTTGTCAACGAATTCGTTGGTCGTTGCCTAGTAAATCAACTCTGATCTTCTCAACCATTCGGGATTTCTGGCACGCCACAATATTAAATACAGAAGTCAAAATGTAGAGTGATACGTCAACGCAACAGTATGCTGAATACATTATATTAAAATGGATTTTAGGTAAATAGGATAGGGTGGTGTGGACCGATTCATCTGTCTCATGACAGGGACCAGTGGAGGGCTGTGGACGGGGTAATAAATCTTCGAGTTCCATAAAATGTTGGGAAATGATCCAGATGAATGACTGACTGGCTGCTTCTCAAGAACGACCCAGTTCCATGGACTTGGGTGTTTAACAACGGTGCGACTCTGATTATAGAGCGTGGAGTGGCTGGTTGGAAGAGAACAGTGTTCAGAAAAGAATGCTGATGGAAGCTGTCATGGCCTAATTTAAGATACTGTCACGTGTTGGGTATGCCACGCAACAAATAACGTCACATGGGTCTCGGATTTAGCGAATGTTTATTGTGCTTCACTTATACACTCACACGCTTTATAATTATCATCACTTGCGGTATCACAATTTCTGCTTCCACTATATCTCGGCCAATACTAGACTGCTTTCGGCGGCGGCCTTCTGAAGACTGTCTCGGCGAATGCATTACCTTGTTATATATCCGCGGCCGTTGCTACGCAGTGAACCTTCTGTTGTCCATCACCGGGGAAATGCTGCTTCGTTGATTCTGCAATTCCTAAGCAATGGCCCACTGTTGGGATTACAATACCGCTATTGTCACTTTCTATGCAACGGTCTGTTCTAGCGTTTCCATGGAAGTAACTCTTCTGGATTCCAAACGTGACAATATTATACAACATTTGTTTGGAGTGACTGAGGAAGGTCATGAAAAACCTGTCAAGGCTGTTTGTGTCCTGACTGATATTCGAAAGGGTACTTCCAAGCATATTAAGTTCTATAAATTAATGACTTGATATTTCCTTATAAATTTTACATTTTTAAATTTTCTATACATTTATATATATTGTAATTGGATCAGTAGGGCGGCCCCTAAAACAGTAAATCATTTTTTAATTAAACACGTAAATGAGCATATTAATTATACTTGGTCATGCGCCAATGTACTTCAATTTCTCACTGATTTTGTTTACAATACACATAAACTCCGTCTAGGTAATATAATAAGGAAATGTTTACTTGTAGTCATGAGCGTAATGAAGTTCTGAAAAAATAACTTATAAAACGAAAGAAATTAAATTCTGGGAGTTAAAGTGTGTAACCGTTTCGCCTTGCTTACGTCCGTCTGCTTACACAGGTTGGTCGCCACTCTGGTTTGCAGCCGCCCTTAACCCACTTCTTCTCCGTGTTCATGTTGTCCATTCGTTGTTTGGGCGCCAGTAAGCTCCTGTTGGTGTGGCTTATAATATTAAGGTTTGTGGTAGGCAAAGAGGTAAAGGTGAAGGGTAACTAGTGGAGTTTCCTTCCCAGGTTGTCTAGCAGGGTCTCGCTTAGGCAGGGAAGGGATGAACATTATGCTACACACATGACAGTTAAGCGCTGTAACCATTTATTGATACTTTTATTCATTTGGTAGAACACACAGTCAATATACTTGGCTACAAGTACTTAGCTCCCTTTAGTCATAGTACACTAGAAGTTATAAGAATAGTTATAGTGAAAAATTTGGCCATGGAAGGCATGTATCCACTGGAATTTTGTGGCCTCTTTGAATGTGTATTAATTTGACGAGTGAGTGCATTTCTCCTACTCTTTTATTTGGAGGTGAATCAGCCAATACTGTAGAGTGCACTGCTAAAATAACTGTTGTGATTGCTTCAGCTTTGCCGTTAAAATATACTCATTGTTGTCCACGAGATAAATAAAACCCGTTGAGTTTGCAGTGTATTCCTATTCCGGCATTTCTATTCTCTTTAAAAAGTGAAATATCAATATCACTGCAAACATTGTTGCATTAACACTTACAGGTTCTCAAAATATATTTAATTTCCTGTTCAGCTATCCACATAATATAACATGACAATTCTATTACTGCATAATTAGCTTTATAACATTTTTTATTTAACAAATGCATATTGAGAAGCTTGGCAACATCAAAGTTGAATGGTTTCACTAATCACATAAAACAAAGTTGGGGTCTGCAAATGGTAAAGTTTTCTCAATGAAGGAAATGAATAATATTAATTTCATGAAAATAAGCTGCTAGGTATGGTAGTTTTATTTCCAAGATAGTTTACACTTCTTTACATTTTAACAAATATATTTTATGAGATATAACAAAGTTCACTGAGTCACCTTTCACAATACTGGTCAAGTATTATTCTTCAAAATTGGAATAGTTTACCTGAACAGTGACATGTCTGACTGATATACATGAGGCAATTTTCTTCCTGGTGCAGGGTCTTCCTTAGAAAATTTAGAATTACTCAGTTGCTTAAGTATTATTTTGCTTTTAAAGAACCCAAAGGTTTACCATGATGCTGTAACCTACTCTCAGTAACTGAACCACTCCCTAACTTCAAATTCTGTTTTCTCTAAGGGTTGCATATTTTGGGTAGGTATTATATTATTATGGTTTCCAGGCAGAATATAATCTAGAACAGGGCATAACTGCAAGTCAGGACAGATCACTCACTATAGTAGCCAGATAAAGGGAGTGAAACCATGTTTCAGTTATTGGCAGGGACAAGAATTTGTCTTTGCTCCCTGTCCACACACCTCTGGAGTCCATATAGCCTCCTACTCAGCAGAACTGGGGACACTATCCCTAAGGGTTAAGTAGTCATGATGCCCTCACATCCACTTAGTCCTTATGATAAGAATGTGTGGAACTATACCTCCACTCCCCCACACATATACGACCCTTAAGCACAAAGTCTACTCTGATTTCATGCTTTGCAGGACACATCTGCATCATCCCATATTCTAATGCTATATAATTTTTGTAGCTGATATACAGTAATCATACAACCTAACTAGAAAACATCATTTCAGTACCTAACTAAACCAACTTAATGAAGCAGTCTTTCTTAAGATGCCGATGGTCACTAAGCCAGTCAAGAAATTCTCTGTCTTTTAAAGTCATGAAGTTTCATTACTGTGTTCTCAAGAACCAACCACTGGATCCTGTCTTGAGCCCAATGAATCTATACCACACCCTCATACCTGACTTCCTTAACACCAATACGAATATCTTCCTCTCATTTATGCCTGTCTCCCAGGTTTTCTATGCACCTCTCCCATATGTTATACATGCCGCACCCTCCTTGATATGATCGCACTAATGACAGTATTTTAGGAACAGTGAGAGCTGGGGGAGCTCAGTTGGTATAGCAATGGGCTACAGACAAGATGGTGAGGAACTGGGGTCTGACTCCTGGCAGAGGCATGAAGTCCATCCAGCCTCATGTTCAATGAGTACTGGGGACTCTTTCCCTTGGGATTAAGTGGACAAGGTGTGAAGCTGACCACTTACCTCCATCTAATTAGAAATGCATAAGAAGCTAAACCTCCATTCCCCCACACATCATAATGGTAGAGTGCTTAATTACACACAGGCACAACTTTACATTTCATCTTTATTTTATGTAGGTGAGTCAATAAGTAAGTTACAAATTGATGTGGGGTACTACATGTTTGAATGAGGCACTTGAGGCTATCGCCACTAGATGGCATTTGACATGAGACAATCAATGTCTATAAAAGTGAAACAGCAGTTGCAAAGATGGCAACACATCTGAGTGAGTGTACAACCCTTGAGCAGCACTCCATTGTGCGATTTTTGTGGGCAAAAGATATGGAATCAAAGAATATTCATAAAGAAATGCTTCCCATCTACAGTGAGAAGTGCCTGTCACATCAAGCTGTTTGCAATTGGGTGCAGAAGTCCTCTCAAGGGCGGACACATATCGAAGACGAACACCATGCTGGCCGGCCAACGGAGATTGCCACAGAGGCGAATGTGCAACAGGTTGAAGACTTAATCTGCACAGACAGAAGGTGTAACTATAGACACTACAGCCACTGCTATTGGTTGTTCACACGGGATGGCCTACCTCATAATGCATGACAGGTTAGGTTTTCACAAAGTCTGTGCACGATGGGTGCTGCGCATGCTGACCCCATAACACAAAATGCAAAGAATGGGTCTGGCATTACAGCATCTCAATTGCTACCATGATGAAGGACACAATATGCTAGCCCAAATTGTCACGAGTGATAAGTCTTGGGTTCACCATTACCAGCCCGAGACAGAGCCTGCGTCAATGCAGTGGAAACATCCTGTGCTGCCTGCCAAAAAAAGAAGTTTAAGGTGACACCATCCTCCAGGAAAGTGATGCTCAGTCTTCTGGGATCACGAAGGCATACTGCTCACCGCATTCCAGCCTCAAGGACAAATCATAAATGCCGACTCCTACTCAGGAAACTTCGTAAGGCCATTCAACAGAACCAACCAAGACTCCTCACCAAAGGTGTGTTGCCCTTGCATGACAACACGCTTCCCCATACTGCCAACAAGACAAATGAGATGCTGTGAAATTTCAAGTGGGAAGTCCTCAAGCATCCTCCGTATAGGGTACAAGGTAGGGACCTTGTTCCAAGCAACGTCCATTTGTTCAGCCCTCTTAAAAATCATCTTTTGGCTGAACAATTTTCCCGACGATGAAGCTGTAGAAAGGGAAGTCACCACCTGGTTCCGACAGCAGCCAAAAGAATTTTATGCTGCTTGTTTTCAGGAGCTTGTGAAACGATGGAACAAGTGCCTCAATGTACAGGGAGATTATGCTGAGAAATAAAAGTATTTTTCAAATCAGTACTCTTATTTGTTTAAGTTCTATATCCAATTGTAGCTTACTTATTGACTTATCCTCATACAAACAGCAAGAATTATGAATGTCCTCATTATGTTTTCTGCATCTTTCTATTACTTCCATTCTCTTAAGTCTAAACCCTGCCCTCAGCACTTAGTTCTCAAATGTCACTAGGACACTATACAGACCACATTCCAGAGCATGTGGTATTGCCTGGAAACATGTAAAGCTGCATTTCCTAGTTCCAGAACCTTCCTCTGAAGGTACAAGCAGAGCATATCAGAATATTAAAAAACTGAATTATTTTGTGGATAATCAGTATCATGTTACTTACCAAATAATTGGCAGTCTCCTTTTAATGTGTCCCTTTGTATTTCAAAAGTAGCAGATGCAATATATAAGTTGAAATACACATGTATCCAATATTTCTATATTTCTTTAAGGAAACAAAATGATCTGTCAATTTTCTATTTCAAACACTGTGCATGAAGACAATGTGAATTACAAATACTATAAAATGTGAAGCATGGCTATGGTTAAAGTTTAAAACAGTCTTTCTATAGAATGTACGCTAACAGCAAAAATAGTTCAGTTTCTTATGATATGAAAAGAATTACAATCTATTTATTATTAATATAATCTGCAGAATTTACATACCTTACAATGTTCTCACTCTGACACCAGAACACAGTAAAACCAAGACCCATTCATAAATAAAAGTGCAAGACTGTGTTGAATACTCAGATAATTGCATTCCCACTACCAAACATAAGGAACACCAGACAACCAAACATGTTAATAGCAGCTGTTATATGAAAGACAGAAGCCCAACTATTCGTTGTCTCCAAGATGTAACCTGCCAGGTAAACACCCATGAAACCTGGGGGAAAAAAAAAATAATGAAATTCTGTTGCAGATACAGTGACATGTCACTAAAATATACAAATATACTGGCCTCAACATGTGTCAGCGTGACTCAGTTCTTCACTTTTAGGCTTCATGTGTTGTAAGTATGCTTTGGTGGGGGAGGACCAACAGGTCTCTTTTCAACAAAGTAATTAGCAAACTGTAGGTTAACTTCATTTTTGCCCATTTTCCATAGTACTGTCATGTTTGCTAGGCAATGTGACAAGAAATTGTGTGGGTTCTTGGATTTGAATGAATATTTATTGGACAGTCACTTTTACACTCACAAGTAATTATTCCACTTATAACATCTTCGGACGTTTCCTCTTTAATGTTAAGACACTCTCACACCGCTATTCTCAGTGAAGTGTCTCCTGCTCTAATCGGATGAGAACTCTTCTGTTCTCCTGACAAATACCAACTCTACTCTTTTAAGGTCAAATACAAACTGAAGTAGCCCCTTGTCGCAATTGGATTTTTACAAGTATAACTTGCACTCGCACTCAATAGGGAACAAAATGACGAAGGGTTAATTCCGTCTGCTGCTACTGAAACGCTGCTTCAAACAACTCGTTGCTTGGATATTGCCAGCTGTTATAGAGCAATGGATGCGTTCCAATTCCTAGGCGTTGCAGTGGGAATGCTGGTGTTTGCCTAGGAAATCAACTCTGATCTCTTCAACATTCAGGCTTTCTGGCAGCATTTCACTTAGTGGGGGGTGGGGTCCAACTGGGTCCACTCGGCATGGCAGCCACTGATTAGCCTATTGTAGCCTGCTGTGGGTGATTATGATGATAGAGAATTTGCTGGAATGAAGACTGGCAGCGGAAACCGAAGTACTCAGAGAAAACCTGCCCCCATGCCACTTTGTCAATCACAAATCCCACTTGACCACACCCGGGATTGAACCCGGGCCGCCACAGTGGGAAGCCAGTGACTAACCGCTTGAGCTATGACGCAACCTTTCTGGTGACATGCCACAGTATGTAAGGAAAGGACCTGTATATGGTATGTTCATGCACTCTGTTTGTCATCCTTAATAATGTTACGGATTTGGTAAATGCATTGCCAGGCAACAGTTTTGTAAACATGTAACACAGAACAATACAGGAAGCTGTGTTTTCTGTATCCGCGATGATGTCAAACAACAGGAGATAGTGATTACATGACTTGTTTGTTGTATGTCCATGCAGCTGGCACCAATGGACTGGTTGGATAGTGACCAGGTGACATGTTTCCTGTAATGCATGTCCATTCCTTGGCTATACAAGTGAGCAGAATTCCTAAGCTATAGTAGGATCAGCAGAAGCACGCAATCAGCAGCCAAGCAGTAAGCTTAAGGAATGCAGAAGACTACAAGAAGTCAGCCTGTGGAGATCTAATGTGGGATTTCAAGACTCTGTGTGTGTTGTAGTACAGTGATATTGAAAGTGTGTGATTTAGGGAGATTTTTATAGTTCCTATGTTATAAATCTGTGAAGATTAGTGCAGACAGACTTAAGCAATTAGCATGGAATACTTTGTAGTGTGAAATTCCGTAACCGTATTATAATTATTTGTAGTTACGGCCTGTAGGCTGTTAATAAATCCAACTGCCTACCTGAACCCCATCTCTAGTCACTGTGACACATGACAACAATTTTGGAACTAACAAATTTTTGTGAAACTAGACATGAACATCATGCTATCTGAGAACATCCCACCCTTTTACTTTTTTTAGTTCCCATCACAAATCACCAATAACACTAACAATGTTACCATTAAAAATTCTGAGAGATAGACATCAGATCTATGTAATGTTGGGTACTGATATTTGATGTGGTAATACACGTAGATTTCAGATTAGGATGACATTTCTGTTAAGGTGTTACCTTCAGAGAACATAAAACGAACATGGTAACTGAAAAACAACAGGGTGACACATGAAATGATCCAGTATTTGATCTATTAATAAAATCTTTATTTCAATTATAAGACTGGAAACCAACATATGTGTATAAAAAGACCATTGCATGGAGATTTGCCCTCTCTGACTTTAGTGTTCAATATGATTACCATTATGTCTGGAAACTTCTTCAACATGAACTGTGACTTAGCTGATTACTTGACGGCACATATCCTCAGTTAACTCGTCACAGGCCTAAATGATTAGTGCTCTCAATTCCATTACTGTCTGCAGCTTTTTCAGAAAACTATTTTCCTTAAGGAATCCACAAAGATAGTACTCACATGGGTTTAAATTAGGACTATCCAGGGGCCAGTTCTGCGAGATGAGCAGGAAATCGGTTTGACGTAACATGCAAGTAGAAAGTGTCATGCAGACATTCAATTGGAAGTGTGCATCATCAGAAAACCAAACACTGTTGAATGATACCTCATTATGCTGAGTCCATTCAGCAAATGGCATTCTTTGACACTGTTTCAGTAACATTGTCATTTGGTATGGATACAAATTCAAAACACCTTTCAGTATTCATTGCACTGATAGTCTGGATATACCTAGTTGTGCTGCAGCCTTCCTTGTTGATTTACTGCAGCTTCATGACAGCGCCACTCTCACAGGGTCAATGTTCATACAGATGAAGGCCAGCTATGTTTCCTCTCCAACACTGAACCATCATTATTAAATTAGTTAAGTAAAGTAAAAAGTAAAGCTATCCCTGTACCAGGGCGTGAAGGCCCATAGGGTTGTGAGACGTTGAGGTTCCCACATTATCTAGATAATCAACTCAAAGATGGCGGTAAGGTTGTCAGCCTTACGCGCTGGCCGCACTTTACTCCCCAGGAAAATTATTTAATTAATTCCTGGTACTCATTTCTGTCAGAGGCTGAGTAAACCCCAGGGCTTAGTGTGGCTGGAAGGATTAGGTCAACTGGAAAAAATCCAATGACCTCATCAGGACTTGAACCCGCGACCATCCAGCTTGTAGCATAGCTCCTCAACCACCACGCCACCACGTAAAATTATTTTGGTGAAGGCGCCCATCGCATTTGAAAATGGGCATGAAACCGCTTCTGTGTGACTATAACATTTCTTGTTTCAGTAAAGAACAACACTGTTTTCATGTGCTGTTCTTCAGACAGTCTTCCTTTGTCAGCCATCTCGTGTACACTGGTGCATGAGCATGAACAGCACAACACTAGCGCTCTCAGGAAGAGTAAGAACTAATCTCCATGATCTACTGTGTTACCATGTTACAAAACATCGTTCACTGCAGGGTTGAATAATTAATACTAAATCAAATACTGGATCATTTCGTGTGTCACCCTGTATATCATTCTGTTTGAAGTAATGAAGCACTGAAGCAAGGTTTTGGAAATTTTGCAAATAACTACCAATTGCTTCAGCTACTGAGCTCACAGTACTGAACATTTTCATTGTCAAATTATGTGCTATAATGCAGTCCTTATGATTTGCCATAAGGCAATAACAGAAATGAAGAAGGAAAAGGGATATATAGGACGGCTGAGAACACAGTGTGAAACTGCACAATGGAAACTACACCCACCAACAAGGACATGATATAAGAAGAAACACTTCATTCAAGCAACAAATCAATTACTTCATGCAATTCCCATACTGATACTAAGCAATGGAAGGATTTGAAAATGTGTGGTATTAAAGAAACCTCTAATTATGTGATCTGTATATCATGTTTCATAATAAATGGCCTGTCATTAAAGGCCAGATTAGGGGGAAGAAAAACACTATTCCAAAATAAATGCTTATTACAGAGCAGCTGGATCATCTTACCAGGAACAGCACCAACAGTATTCATGAGACCAAACACACTTCCACAGTGCTTCGGAGCAAGATCTTGAGGATTTACTATAATGGCATTGTTGTGAAAACCAGTTGCTGCTATTGCTACAGTCATACACAGCAAAGCCCAGTAGTAGTCTGTGATCTGAGCTAAGAGCACAAAATTAACATTGAAAACATAGCTACTAAAGAGGGCAGACTGTAAATGTGCAGGCACATGCATGCACAATGGCATGATGCTCTTACTTGGATGCTCGGATGGAAACTGTTTTATTCTGAAATATCAGTAATGCCATACCATATCTCAAATAATACACTACATATGACTAAATCACAAGCAATAAAGTTATAATGTTGTATTTTAGCGTCCTGTTGCACTGATTTTCATCCATGATATGTATAAATTTGCTGTCTTGTAGTGCATTCAATTTCACGTGTTACTTCACGACATGTTTCGGCAACATAGTGCCACCATCAGGTGCCCTAATTACACTAATCTATTTCATTGCTTGCCTTTATAAAATTATTTAAAAAGTGCGTATTTGTCAACTATAATAAATTTACACACACTAAAACTTGTTAAGATTATTCATCTTATGTGTCACAATTAAAACTTGCGTGTGGTTCTTCCACTATAGGGGTCGTTTTTCTTATATTCTGTGTAAACCGTGTCTTGTGATGTGTGTTCCCTTCTTAGCTGCTAAGAAGGGAACACACATCACAAGACAAGAAGGGAACACACATCACAAGACACGGTTTACACAGAATATAAGAAAAACGACCCCTATAGTGGAAGAACCACACGCAAGTTTTAATTATGACACATAAGATGAATAATCTTAACAAGTTTTAGTGTGTGTAAATTTATTATAGTTGACAAATACGCACTTCTTAAATACTTTTTAAATAATTTTATAAAGGCAAGCAATGAAATAGATTAGCGTAATTAGGGCACCTGATGATGGCACTATGTTGCTGAAACATGTCGTGAAGTAACAGGTGAAATTGAGTGCACTACGAGACGGCAACTGTATACATATCATGGACAATAAAGTTATGATGAGATCACAGAAAATACTGATTTTTATTGTTTCAATGCCAGGAAAACTGCAATATTTCAACATTAGTCCATAGGTGAGAAACTACCGACATCTGATTGTTTCAATGCTAGGAAAACTCCAGAATTTCACTGGTCTACATTTTCACATGACGATTCCATAAAGCACAATTGAATATTTCCTTCCAAAATTAGAGTAACACACAAGAAAATCAAATGCGCATGTGGGTGAGTAGCATAAGTACCCATTCCTTGGGAAGCACATGGTTGCTCCCATTGTCAATATCATAGCATACAGTACCTAAGGCTTTAAAGAAGGAATAACATTCAAATATTGTATTCACTGTTAATGAGAGCACATAGAAAATTTTAATGAACATTACCACTAATAAATTCCATACAAATACATTCTTCCAAAGCACCTTCACATGGGTAGACTGGATTCATGCTGCGGATTGTTTAAAAAATTACAAATATTGCCACTTCAGTCTCAGTACATTTTCTCCTTACTTCTTTTTGTCGTTAAGAACAGAAATTATTTTCTAGCTAATACTGATATTCATATTATCAACATACGTTATAATCACAATTTATATTTACCTTCTACAAATATATCAATAGTTCAAAAAGGAGTGCTTTTCTCAGGTAGCAAGATTTATAACCGCTTACCCTCAGACATTAAATTGCTATCCAAAGATATTAAAAGAGTTCAAATTTTTATTAAAAAGCTATCTCACTGAACATGCTTTTTATAGTATTGATGAATATTATAAATCAACTTCTCAATGAACACTTTGTCTTGACTGTCTCTCCTACGGATAATATAATTAAACAGCTTATGTATCCACTACAACTGCATATGACTGCACTAATTTATAGTGGTCTTAAGTGTTTTCATTTATCCTTGTATGGGTTAGGAATGTATATTTTATTATCTTATGTTCAAACATGGATATGAATGTATATTTTATGTTTAAACATGACAGATTCTATATCCAATAGGTTGGTTTGACCTTATATGGATTGACAGAATGCAATAAATAAATGAAAAAATGAAAATGAAAAGGTAATATGTATTGACACAAGACTGTAAAACATATAAAGTAACAGAAATAACCAATAACAAAAACCCATGACAATGCACTCTCATGAACCAAACTGTTAAAAAGTACACTGGAACCAGTCAGCTAGTCTTTTATGTACTATGTAAGATCTGAAGCTTTCAATGGTGAATAAATGTACTCACACCTCTTCTTGGCAATCACTCATATCAATGTTGAGTTAAAAATCAACATTTCAGAGTTCTCCTCTGTCTAAAACATCAGGGCTGATGTGGTGAATGACCTTGCATCACTGATATATCACACACAGATCTGTGAAATGTGACTTAGGATTAAAGCATCAGGATATACAGCAATTCATGCAAATGTGGAAAATACAGACCAGATTACACTGAACTGAAACAAGGTGTAATGAACATGACCAACATATACATTTGTATGAACTGGACAAGCCTGCTGTTGCAAAACACAGCATTAAATCTAGTCACTGGGTTAAGTTCCAAGAGAATGAAGTACCAACCAAAACACCAGGTTACAGGGACTAACCTGTCAAAGACACAACAGAATTAAGACGGTATCCACACAGTATCAAAAGAGAGGAGCAATTCAAACTGAATAAAGCATGGAACCCCCAGCATGCGATTATAAGGGCACTCCAGCACATACTGGTCAGATAAAAACCAAAGACAACAAACACAATGAAAAGTACACTAAAAAGAAGACAGAATAACTGATAAAACAAGACACCAAATTAAGTGACATGGTGAAAAGGTCAGAGTCAGATAGGTGACTACACAATTTGAGAGACTGGTATATATACTTGTGATGTATGGTCATCCATCACACTGGCACTGATGAAGCAGATGGAGAAGATCCATGAAACACTAGTTTTCAACTCAACACTCACTCATAGAGCTGAGCCCTTCTTGAGAAGCCGCCAACTGAGCACCTACTCAAGAACTTACCAGCATTTTATGGTACCTGAAGGTTCATTAACGTGTTCACAAGAGCCCTCCACTGGTTCATATCCTGAGCTGGATCAATCCAATCCCACCCCAATCTATCTCTCTAAGATCCATTTTAACATTGTCCTCCCACCTATGCCTTGGTCTTCCCAGTGGTCTCTTTCCATCTGGCTTTCCCACCAATATCCTACATGCATTCCTCTTCTTCCCCATTCAGGCTACATGCCCTGCCCACCTCATCCTCCTTGACTTAATCATTCTAATTATACTTGGAGGAGATCACTCGAATTTATTTAACAATATTACATATTATTCCTATTCTGTGCATTTTCAACATATGACATTGTACTTACAACGAATGTTTCATCTAATGCATGCACAATCATGAAACACATGTATAGAATATTTTATAACAGCAAAGATGTTAAGATTATAGTCTTCTGGGATATGATGTCATGTAGTCTGGTACCAATATATAAGAGAAACCTCCTGCCCCCATCTTCGTAATAGGTGATGGAAGCAGCTGCAGCCAGTTCATGAAAACACTGGTAACTTTCTACCAGACTACATGGCATCACATCCCTGAAAACAACAATCTGAAACCGTTATCTTGGTTAAGTAAAACTGGTACAGCTACAAACAAATATCTCACCTATTAAAACAAGACCCAACGCTTGTGAGCCTAAGCAGATTACTTCAATTATTTTCCTGGTATCTGTTACAGAATGTCCTTGTGTAATAAGTTTTTCTGACAACCACTTTCCTAGGAATGTACTGGGAATACAAAATAGCCATGGCACCATGTTCACTACCCAGCCCTAAAATAAAATTCAGTATTATTATATAACAATATTTTGAACCTTTATGGTATGCATAAGTTATTGAAGGAAAGACAGAGGGGCAGATAGAAGTGACCAGAAGATGAGGAAGAAGACGTAAGAAGATGCTGGATGACCTTGGGGACAGAAGAGGATATTTTCATTTGAAGGAGAAAGCTCTAGATCGCATCAAGTGGAGGAACTGTTTTGGAAGAGACTGTGGACCTGTCGTCTTGACAGATTACAGATAAATGAATGGTATGCATCCTGTTGTGTTTGTACAAAAGATATATAATGGGACAGTCTACACAACAATAATTCTGAAAGGGACAAAATAGGCAGTACTGTGTCAACATTTGTAGACTGTCCCATTATATATCCTTTGCATTACACACAACATGATGCATACCATTAAGGTTGTAAATGTTATTCAGCATACTAAATAAACACATGATTACTATGCTCAAGTTACTGAATTCCAACACAAACATTTATTTCAACATCACATGTTTATAATTAAATTTAACACCAAAATATGCACACACCAGGATAACTTCATACAATAAAGCACATGCCAAACATATAGAAGATGAAGCACATAAATAAAATTTTGGTATGCTAAGAAACAAAACTCAACAAAACTTTATCAACTACACATCCAAAATGGTACATAATGGGGAAACTTTTGAGAGTATAAAATATTGTAACGTGTTTTGTCTCTGAAGATGTCATTTGGATTGTTAATTGGTTTATTTAACAACCTACAAATCATGATTACAATTAATTATAACACAGTTGCAGATTTACACAATTTATAAGCCCTACACAATAAGCTGTTCACTCTATCTTCAATAGTCTTCACTTACTCACAGTACAATACAGGAGCTATACCAGTGTCACTGTATTACACACTCCCAATACCTTCTCACACTATCGCCTCTAATCACGATTCACTCGCTACAACTGAACTCAGCGACTGCTACAATTCAACTGACTGCTTAGGCATTCCAGTTCTCTTATAAACCCTCAGCCAAACAGCGGAAAACGCGCCTCGCTTCCCTGTTGCGTAATCCCCGTGTTTACATGCAGTCCTGGGCAACGCTGTCGAGAGTTGTTCACTGCTGTGTAGTAACCACAGTTATGTCACTGTGGGAAGTGCTGTTGCGTCACCGCAGCAATGGTTGCCTGACACAGTTGCTCCTCTGTTACGTCACCGTGGGGGAGGGGGTGTTCAACGAGCGTTGCATACTGATGGAAGTAGTGGGGGTATGTGACGTCACTCTCGAGACCACAGAGTTCACGTGACCCCTACTTCCTGTTGTGCCATCCAGGTCACAATACAGGGGTATAAATAATAAAATAAGAAAACTAAAACAGCAGAATCATGTACAAAAACTACAGATAAACAAACCAACTATACCTTTTACAAATGAATGGAAAATCTAACCGATGTTGTTAACACCGACATAGAAATGCAACTCCTAAACACAGGACTAAAATATAACCTACAGCACAAACATAAAAAATAGATACAAACACTGGCGATGGAAGAGGACACAGCCATTTTCCAATTACCAGAAACAGACCATGGATATATTAGACAATTAGTAGTGAATAACATCCAAAAGCTTTCAAATAAACACAACACTTTAAAAGAGAAACACCAATTTACACCAAATGAGAACTTCTTAAATGGAGCACAATTAAAAGCTTAAGACACAAAATTAATCAAAGCCAACTAATCATAACAAAAGCCAACAAAGGGAACACTTTAGTTATACTACTCAAAAATGACTACAAAAACAAAATTTAAGAGTCCACTACTAAAAAACAGTTTGACAAAATTACCACATGAAATGACAAATAAACTATTTAGGTCGTTCAAAAATGACTGACACTTCCTCCATAATTCCGGAAACGTAGCGGTGTCAAAAGCGAGCCGGTGTATGTGGGAAGACATACTATTGTGCCCCCTATGGCCACGAGATGATGTTGCTACTGTGCACAGGTCGAACAGTGCTGTGTCATTTGTGGTGGTGTGCAAGTGCAGTCATGGACAACTATAAGACTATATGGAAGCAATCACGGGCAACGGTGGACTGTGTGGTTTCTCTGGAGGGAAGGAGTGGCTGCTTCACACATTCACACGAGGTTAGCAGCTGTATGTGGGGAAGCAGCACCAAGTCTCAGAACCACGTTTCACTGGACAGCAGAGTTCAAAGACGCCAAGGACTGTGCAGAAAAAGGCAAAAGCAGTGGGCTTCCAGCAACAGCATGCACACCAGACAGTACCCAGCGCGTGTCCAACTTGATACTGGAGAACAGGCATATCACTTTCGATGAACTAGAGAACGCAACAGGTTTGTCATGCGGAACACACTGCACATCATCATCCATCAGCACTTGAAGATGAAAAAGGTCTGTCCTCAGTGGGTGCCCCATCCTCTCACCATTGCGCAGAAGCAGGAGCGTGTCGAGACATGCCAACAGTTGCTACAGCTGTATAGCGCGGATCCGGCAGAGTTCTTTTGAGTGTCTAGTCACCATTGACAGGCCATGGTTCTAGCATGAGACTCCAGAAAAGAAACACCAGTCCATGGAGTGGAAGCACACTGGGAGCCCTTCTCCCAAGAAGTCACGACCGGGACTATTCGTCGAGAACCAAAGGCGACTATGTTCTGGGATCAGGTGGGAATCCTTCTGTTGGATTGGTGACCCACCAATACGACCATCGACAGTGATCGGTACTGCAGTTCACTGCACCAACTCAACCACAGAAAATGGGGGTGCGGCGGTCTTCTCCAACATGACAATGTGCAGCCACGTGGCAGTAGGCAGACCATTGCCACCCTAGGTGCTCTAGGGTACACCATGCTGCCTCATCCGCCATATTCGCCCAATCTTGCCCCTAGTGACTGCGCTCTATTTGATGCAATGAAAGACGTCATGCGGGGTAAGATGTTCACCTCCAACGACTAGCTTCAGGCAGTTGTCCAGCAGTGGCACCAGGATACCCCCAAAGAATGATTTGTTGTGTAAATACAGAAACTGGCAGAACGATGGCAAAGGTGCATAGACATTTGCGGGGAATACCTCTAATATGATCTGTATGTATTTTGTTCCAATATATGGTCACTGTGAAGAAAAACCACTTAGTGTCAATCACTTTTGAATGCCCCTAGTACAATGAAACATATCACGTGTAGGGGGTATGCGTGATGAAATGACGGGTTCTAGTTCGGATGATTGGATTTATTGACAGCTTGGTTACACACACTCTCTCCATTACACTCTAATACAGCTCTATTGCTGACTTACACACACAAGATCTTCTAATCCACTGTTTCAAGCACCGTAGCACACATGAAGTCTTCTAAAGCACACTTGACATCCTCACAGGCAACCTTGTGTAGTCCTGGTTCCAGTTTGCTTGCTTCCGCCACTCTCAACTGCTAGACTTCAACCGACTACTCAATACTGCATTCTCAACAGTCATATTTAATAGTACCTCAACAAGTCAAAGTCAAAGTCACATTGCGACTGACAGTCAGTCAGTCAGTCAGTCAGTCAGTCAGTCAGTCAGTAAGTCTTGGCGTCGAGCCCCAATAATTATTACCGTTTGACAGTTACGGTCTTGTTTCTGTGGGGTACCCTCTCTGACGAGAAGATGGGTCTGTCCTTTGTGTATGCTGCTCGCCCTTGCCAGCGCATTCTTTCTCGGGTCCGAGTCCCTTGGGACTCGCAACCATATTTTACTGTCTCAGATTTGAGACTTCCCTTTTCATCGCCTCCTACCAGTGCCTCAACACCGATGAGTACTCTCGTTATGTAGCTTTCACCCTGACCACACAGAAAACGTGTTTACTGATTGCCTAGCAACAGTCGCTGCACAGACTCCCCTGTTGTGTGACGTCACAGCCTGGCGGGGAGAAGTGTTTACCAAGCATTGTTACGCAATGAACACTCATTCCTATGGATATCCCTTTGCAATGGTCTCAACAATTCCCATTGTTTCGTTGCTTAGCGATGGACGACTTGAAACCTAGAGGAGAAGCAAGAGACATATACAACCAGAGAGTTTGCTGGGAATCATGGACTCAGCACGACACAATAATGCACGCATTGTGGGTAAACCATTCCCCATGGTGACACCACAGCATAGGAGCCGCTGCTGCTGCTAGGGGCAACAGGCCAGTAAACACTTCCCTGCGGTGATGCAACAGCAGAGGAACTATGCTAGGCAACGAAACAGTAAACACTTCTCCACTGTGATGTAACAGCAGACACTGCTGCTAGGGCAACAGCCAACAGTATAAGAAGCCAGCTGAGGACTGAGCGTGGCACTGTCTCTTGAGAGAAGCCAGTTCTACAATCTAGTGAGAGTTGTTAATATGAAAGGAGTGACTGTGAAACGACTTGTTCAACATTTTGTATTACAGTTACGTTGAATAGTAGTTACAGCATTGAGTAATAAAGTGACATCCCAAAAGAATACTCATCAAGGTATTGTTTCACGACAAAGGCATATTATCAGCTGCAATGCAGTGAATGCCCACTTAAACATATTGCACAAACAGGACGCACATTCGAAGTCCATTACAGAGAACACATACACCATTAGGACCAACAGACAGAAGTCCAAATTCGAACAACACATTCTAGAAACAGGACATGAATACAGTACACTAGACCAGACTATAGAAATATTATACAGTAAATAAAGAGCCCAAGCTCAACTCATTACAAATATTTCATATATACATCATAACCAAGAAGGGTCCATGATACATTTAGACATATATAACCCCATATTTGATACACTGATATATTGGGTTTTCGGACTTTATCCATCGTCCTGGTTTTTAAGATAACTAATAACTTGTGTTTTTATTAGTTATCTTAAAAACCAGGATGATGGATAAAGTCTGAAAACCCAATATATCAGTGTGTTATACACCATCGTCAGAATCCTATAGTAACTACCCATATTTGATATTTTAATTAAAATATACATACATAAATATCCCCACCCCTCCCCCTTCTCACCACCACCCGCAGTACTACTACCTCCACCTCATACCACGCGATCATACAAACACACACGCACATGTCTGCAAAATGATGGATGGGTTCTGCAGAAAGTGTCGCTGCTTCCTTCTCAAAGCTGGTCACAGGCTGTGTTCCAAAAATGAACAGTAATACTGCGCAGTCGGGGAACAGTATGCGTTAGGATAACACCATCACAGTCGTACATGAAAATCACATAACTTTCACACTGCTGGGGTTCTGACAAACTTTTGATTTTCGTGGTGACCCATAATGACGCCATTCATTCGACTGGCATTTCATTTGTGGCTCATACGATTTGGCCCATGTCTCATCCAGCGAAATGATACAGCATAAGAAAGCCTCTCCTTTGCACTCATAGTGCTCCAAGTGGTTAAGAGCAGCGTCGTATCATAGCCATTTCTGCATTTCCGTCAAATCATGCGGAACCCATCGTGATGCAATTTTTCTCATGCCCAGGCATTCCTTCAGAATGTGAAGCACAGTTGTATGCGCTAATCCTGTCTCTCAGGCCAGTTCACATATCGTATGGCATCGATCACTCTCCAGTAACACAGAAAGAGCATACACTTCTTCTTCACTGACACTAGGATGACCTGACCAACGCACGTCTGCCACATTTTGGCATCCCTCGTTGAAGGCTTTTACCTTGCCACTGTTCTGTAAAGCAATGCAGATTCCCTGCAAGTCTCTCGAAGACCTGGATGACACTGTCGTGCTGTACGACCTCTGGCACATTCAATCTTTAGCCAACTCCGTTGTTCCTCTCTCGAAAACATCGTGACAAAACTATATTAGACCGCCAGCTAACACGAGGCTCTGTTCTTCTCGTCACTGCGCATGCGCCTGATGTGGGAAGGGAGAGTCCATTTGCTCTGAGGTAAGGTAGGTATGTAACTAACGTGTGGTATAAGCGACATTATTTGGTTCCATTGCATGGCATCTCTACAGCAGTGTTGTCACTATTAAAGTTCCAACCCTCGTATATACGAGTATATATATGTACACACATTCATACATAGGTACCCCTTAACAAGCAGTGCAGACAGAATCACTAAGCATAATATTAACACCACCACAGGGAACTGTATCTATACACACCATCAAATTTGAAATATTTAAGTACATGTAATGAATAACACAAAGAATTCACTTAATAACTACTCTCACACACAAGGTTTATATTATAATCTAAATTATTACAACCAAGTCCAAATATAAAGAACCTGAGAGTGATATCCAGAATAACGAGTATAGTCCTCACATGATAACAGGTAACCATTACAGATATGAATATAGGAGACACCCTACATAATATCGATCATAAAATATATAAAGCAGAGCACAAATCATTTTCCAGGTGGGTCAAAAACCAAAATGACCCAGATTCTGAGGAAAGATTCCAATACACAGTTACACCACATCACAACTATCACTAATACAATGGAACAGTCAACAACATATATACGGATATGTGTCGGTCACAAAGTCTTAAATAAGACTTGAAATATCAGTTACAAATATCTTAATCACCATTTTAATTATAATTTTATTTTTTAAACTTTTAATGTCACATTTTAAACTACATTTGAAACACATTTAAATTAAAGTGTATAGTATAAAAGTTCATACAAACAAAATATGAATTCATATTGATGAATGACACAATTCAAAAACCAGTATCAGTATTCTTGTATGCCTGAAGATGACTCAAGAAAAGGGTTGAAACATGTAGTGTTACCACCAACAGATAATTAAAACAAGTGTTGACACAATAGTGTCTATTTTGTCTCTTTCAGAATTATTGTTGTGTAGACTGTCACGTTAAATATTTTGAAGACTACGGCTTACCTCTGAACATAACCAAAAGATGAATATGAATTATTCAAACAGGTTAAAGACCAATATCAAAAAAGTCTGAGAAACAAATATAACAGAAGAAGTCAAAATACTGTTATAAGGAGAATGCACAAATTTGGTATGTTGGAGGCAATGCATTCAACTTGTGGTCCATGTGAGAAACTCTGTCCCCAGTTAGTTATCATTTCATGATAACGGATGGTAAGAGAATAACAGAAGGTAACAAAATTCCACAACAACCTTATTGATATTAACCCCTCAGGCTGGCTCTCAGCCCTCAGATACAGGGTAAATGGAAAGTTTGAATTCTCAGGCTAGTCTGTCATACTTAGATGTCTACTAGACTAATGGCTACAGACATGAAGTTCTGAGCATAGACAGCACTTTCACAAGCCACAACAACAAGTCCGTAACAAATATTTTAATGCTGCAATGTTTCCTCCTTCAGAGTCCAATTACATGATGCACATGGTACAAACTGTGTCCACCCATGATCTACACAAGCTGGAAAGGTTAATTTTTCAAACAACGACATCTTATAGTCTTAAGCTTTACCTTTGCATCAGGAAAGGTGTCATGAAAATACGTAGGTAGCCAAGATAAGAGGAGGAAGAAGCAATTGTTCTGACATGCATGTCCGATGACACATGACCTGAAAAAATAAATTGAAAGGATCCTGAATGAGAATGAAAATTGTACTTTTACATCATATTCAAATCTACTTAATTATTTTATAATCAACTCTACTTTAATCAGTGCATGCAATTTGGCAATTTGGAAGCACTACAGTCTGATTAGGTACTACTGTCTAGCATATAAAGCTGGAAATGTACATTTATTCTTAAATCCTTCTTTCTGGCTGAAACAAGTAATACAACTTCTGAAAAACCAAATCACTTTTACCTTTATCAGATGGGCCATTTAATTTCCGGTAGGGACAGCTGGCTGGAGTTTATTTAAATGCCCGCCCTTCTAGAGCAATGAAATTGTAAGCATGTTTCTAAAAATGGTGTGATTTCTACATTTTTTATGATAAACAAACGAAATGAACGCTCCTTTAATGTAGAAAAAATATAGAATCAGATATTCTAATTTACAGATTTTAATATCTGTAAAAAATTTTTACACTGATTCCCCCCCCCCAAAAAAAATCCCGAAATTCATACACTTTCTGCACCATGCATTCTAGCAGTGTAATACATTTTCTGCACCATGCGTTTTAGCAGTGTAAGTCCTTGTGGCGACTTCACATTCAATGGTGTCTCTTGTTGAAGCTTATTTATCATATGGGACATGTCGGTATGCACGACTGTAGGCGTCTGAAATCACTCGCTGTGTAATGTGTTAGATAGATACAGGAGTTAATTCTCGGAATATGGTGTTGCCAGATCGGTCATTCGTTCATTCATTGCAGTCAAACCATTGTGTTTGTAACGATTTTGAAACATCGCAATATAAGGTTAGCCACCCATGACATCATGAAGCAGTATTGGGTTCAGAGAAGTCGTGAATGAGATTTTTGTATGTGTGGGCTCGAGGTTAAGATTTATGGCTTCTTATCGTGGTCTAAGCACAGAGATTCACTGCTAGAGAGCCGTATAGTTCACAATGGCCACACGACGACGTCGTATGGAAGATGCTGAAATTGAGAAACAGCTGTTCAATGACACAGATTCGGACTGCTATTCAACCGATTCTGAGAGTGGCGAGGAAAGTTGGAGTTCTGATGCTGAAATTGAGAAACGGCTGTTCAATGACATAGATTCGGACTGCTATTCAATCGATTCTGAGAGTGGCGAGGAAAGTTGGAGTTCTGATTCTGCGGACAAAGGGTCATCACCTTCGTCGGCAACTTGGGGACCGCCAGACCAGTGTGGCTGGAGAGGTGTGAATAATTATTCCAGTGTAGCTGCGGGGATAAATATCACTGCAGCTTGACATCACTGGCCTGCTTCCTCTAAATCACAATTGAGGTGTCGTGTGTGCTCTTCGCGTGGGAAGCGGTCTAGCGTTTGTACGAAGTGCGTGAGCTGCGACGTCGGACTCTGCGTTTCGGAATGTTTTCGGCAGTACCATACGAAGGCCACATTACCATAGATGACGCAGGAGGGAAGGCTGTTTCCTCATGAAGATGGTGAACATATATCACGTAAGTAGAGCAAAAATTTAATTTTAAATTTAATTTTAAAAAAATCCTTACACACGTGCAATGCGCGAAATCATATGAGGTCGTTCGGCCATATGACGTTGGTAGATTACATTAGATCACGCAGGAGGGAAGGCTGTCACCTTATAAAGGTTGTGACCAAAAATCATGTAAATAGAACAACAATTTATATTTTAAATTTAATTTTAAAAAAATCTTTACACGCGTGGAATGCGCGACATCATATGATGTCGTTCGGCAATTTGTCCTTACTTTTAGCATCATATGACGTCGCTAGATTACATTAGATCATGCAGGAAGGAAGGCTGTCACCTTATAAAGGTGGTGACCAAAAATCATGTGGACAACGTTTTGAGACAAGGGAGACAATTCAGAAAGCATTGTATCAGTGTCTTCAGATGGCTGGAACGGAATTTTACAGAAGGGGAATTTTCAAACTCCCAGAACACTGGGAGAAATGTGTACAAAGAAGTGGCGATTAGGTGGAAAAATAAAGACAGGTCTGTAGATTGAGGTGGTGTATTTGGTTTGTCAATAATAAAGCATGATACTTTACAAAAAATTGTTGCTCATGACTTTCAGTATGACCCTCATACATAATTCACAATAGGGAGAAGGATGCTTCCTACCCGTGCTCCACATTTCTGACACTTATTAGCATTGTGAGACTTATATAATAGGCCATGGTCCTTCCCTCTACCCTCCACAAATGGGCCCAAAAGATTTGGTTTTCGTTCATAGCCTGTTCACCAGAAGACAGAAACAAAATGAAGTTTCAAACATAGATGTTTTAGTACAGTTGAATGATGGTCAAAACCAAAACAACAAAGTGGAAACACATCATATGTACATTTATGCCAGTTCAACCACATGCATTCCCCCACCCCAAAAAAGGTGAGGGATTCCACATACCATGCCACTCAGTGAGCATAAGCCACTAACCACAAATAGTTTTGTCAGGGAAAGAAGAAGACTGAACGCTGGAATATCCAGGATGAATGATGGCTGTTTAGGTCTACTGTTTTCTTTTTTTAATCTTTCACTGTTGTCTTTCTATTTTTATGCAAATAAAAATAAAATTACTGTACATTCTCCTTGTATATGTACTCTTTTATTACATACATTATATAAATACATATTATAGGGCATATACAAAAGCATGTACATTATATGCGATTTAAGGAATTTTCAAGAGTAATTCTGACTAAATGCAATTTTAGGTTTTTGCTCATCTTGCGAACATAAACCCCACATAATATTCGACTCCACTGTATTCCTAAACATCATCACCATAAAAAATCTTTAAATTTAATTTACATGTTAAGTACATGGCAAATTTCAAGGGGCCAGCAGAAACTAACATACTGGATAATGCAGTTGATGATTATATCACTTATGCATATACAGGTACAATTATGTGAAATTACCAGAATTCTAATCGTTCAAATAGCTTGATCCATGGAACAGGTATCTTATCTTTCAAATGCAGAGAAGAATGAAGTTTAGGTGGAACACATGTAATTACAGCTTTTCTCCTCTCTAATGCTAAAGCATTGTTGCGAAGAACAAGTGTCCAAACTACTCCTAGGAAACCTGTCAAAATGCAGTATGACAAATAAGCTGTTAATTAACAATGAAACCCAACATGAAACTACGTGTACAAGACTAAGGGCAGGCTGATGACAGAAAGTGATTTGGAGAAACTAAGTGAAACACTTTCTCAGAAATCTTGTATTTTCACACATACATAACAGACATACCAATAACATAAAAGACAGTAGGCCAACCATGATAGTCCAGCAAATAAGATCCAAATGTGCCAGTGAAGAGTGTCCCGACAGCTGAACCAGAGGTTAAGATACTAAAAAATGATGCACGTTCCTTTTCAGCTAAATGTTGGCTTGTCAAACTACTCATACTTGGAAAATGAACACCTGCAAAAATAAATAATTGTAATGAGATCAAAACATGAAATGAATTTAATTCAATCAGCAGTCTAAAATTAGGTTGAATGGGAATGGAGAAGTGGACTGTTTAACTACCACACACATTTCTCTTTCATTTGATTTACTATAAGAAAAAAATAATAATTTTTTGCTATCAATGGCCAGGATCTACTAAAGCAGAGATAGATAGATGTGTTGCATCAATCAAGCCATGAGAAAAAACACTGAAATGCAACCATATCAGAAGAGTTTCATTAACTCAAAGCTAATGTGACCAACTTAGTTATTTATGTAAACACTACACCATCCACCCTGACCAAATGTTCTGGAAGAGTGGGTAGCACTCATGCTTTGTATTCAGGAGGTCTCAGGTTCAAATCTTGGCCCAAAAACTGGCTATCCTGACTGAGGTGTTACATGGTTTTCCTTGGTCCCTACAGATAAATTCCAGGATAGTACCTATAATTAGGTCAAGACTACTTCCTTTCACATCTTCTCCACTTCATCAATCATTAATCAACCTACCATTTAACGCTGTATAGTCTGAGTCACTGAGAACATCATGTCATAACCTATAAGTAAACAAATTATTGATCTGCACCACAAGAGGAAAGTGGCTCCCTTGATACTGTCTTTCACAGTCTCCTAAGCTAACTAACATCATACTTTCTTTGTACTGCATATCTGAATATAGCTAATCTAAAATTAATTTTTTCTTCCCATTTTGCAGCATTACCCTGACAGCCACAATATTCCACTTTGGGACACTTACTGTTTATTACTATGTAATACAATTTGTGTGTCAAACTGTATTATTTCAATGATCTACTTAATGTTACCTGCTTCTTTAAAATTTTCTACAACTGGCACATGAAATCAAATGATTGCTTTGTCCGTAATTGAATATCATACTGTTAATTTCATAACAGAGATATTCTTTGTTTTGGTGATGTTCAGTTTTACATAGTTTTCAAGACACTAGTTATGTACATAATTTATATTAGACTGCTGAAGTTTATCATACTTCATATCTGACAAATCTCATTCAAATTTTGTAGGAAGTCCTGCAATCCCTGTATAATACAGTGACTTATATTACCTTTGTAATTCAGCTCAATGTGGTAGTACACAAGGCATTCAAAACAATTCATCACAATTTTGATATAAATACATGATGTCCCTTCTGTTGCCATCCTTTAAACAGGCAACAGATTCTTACTATGGTTTAGAATTCTCTGTTGGTGGGATAATCTGGGAACCACTACCACAGTCACCACCATCAATAATACAACTTCTGTCACCAACACTGTCACTGCCATATTAATTTTTATAAGACAGAACCTCCTTTGTGGAGCTGCTAGCTTTTCCTGCAGTCATACAATGAAAATACAGAACTTGCATGGATCATTCACCATATTACATGCAACACTACACTCCACAAAATTTACCACCTTTATAGGTTTAAAAGTGCTTTTTAAAGTTGTAATTCCAGTACATGTTTCCGCCAACATGGCCATCACCAGGTGTTAAAAATATGTCCAATGCGGAAACTGCTGCTTTAACTTGTTGCTGATGCATATGCAGGCATATGCTGATGCACACGTGCAGGTGTGTGTGTGTTATGCTCCTTCCTGTTCTGTTCTTCGTTGTGCTTCCTGTTTCTGAATATAAATGACTGATGAAAGTAAAAAGTGCAACAGGAGGCTACAACACAATATTATGAAAATACAGAACTAAATACTGTACTCCAACCCAGCAGTTTGTCTTCAGTGTCCTGCTTGTACATCCCTTGACACAGACATTTCACCTTCTACCAAGACTCAGAATTTTCTCTGAGAAAGAAAGAAGCTAATAAGCTTGATCAGGCTGATTGTAAATTTTAAATTAGCAAGTCAAGATGCTATGTTTCATCAAAGGCTTTTACAATATCCAAGAATACTGCAGCTGTAGGCATGTCATTGTTGAAATTTAAGGTGACTTTGTCCGTAAGCCTCATAGCAACGTACGTTGAAGTTTCAAGCTGTGATGGGTATGAAAACCAAACTGGCTAGCATTAAGCAGGCCTTCCTCAAATAGCTTGCCTGTTGTAGACAAGAGGCTAATCAGAAGTAAATTCTGAGGGAATTTTAGGTCCTTACCAGGTTTTGGCAACATTATAACTTTTTCTTCCTTCCAAGGCTTTGAAAAATGGGATAGCCAAAGGCAGTAATTAAATAAATGTGTCCAGTGTACCAGCGGTCTTCTTGGAAGATGCCTAATACATCTGTTTGGAATACTATCAAGTCCAAAAGCCTTTCTCAATTCCAATGAATTTCCTATTTTATGAATGTCACAAGGTATTACTTCTTCAAACGGGGTATCATCTACAGATGCAAGCAGGGCTTAGACTCTAGTGTCTAGTGTTGCTCATGGTTTTTGTCACATGGGTCATGAGATGCGAACTGGTTTTCTAATCATTTTGCAATCATGTCGGCTTTCTCATTCAGGTGATATCTTATTCCTAAAGGTCCATGAAGAGTGGTTGGTGTCTTCGATCCACCCCTTTCCATAAGCAGTTTCACAGCAGGCCATAGAGCTTGAGGTGCGACCTCACAGTTCCCTGCTTTTGTTTCCCACCATTCGAGTGCCTTTCTACAGGTCATTTGTCCAACGGTTTTGGCGACCCAATGAACTGCCATTTTACATGCTGGATTCTGGGTTACTTGCCATGGTTTCCATAACTTCTGCTCATGTCATAGCAGATTCTCCAGACCAGACACATTCTTATTAGGGTCCGAGACTTAATTTTGCTTGTCAATAGCCTACATGCCACAGCTACACAAGCAGTAAAGTCACGGGACACTTTATCGGCTTCTTCACCCACATTAATTTGGATTCTAGGTGGAATTAATTCAGAGGCCAGACTTAAAAACTGCTCCCAATCTGTGAATTTGTACAACCAGGTCTGAAAGATTCTTAGTTCAAACATGATCCAGCAAGTGGAAAAAAACTGGTAAGTGATCTGAGTCCAAAGACAATGACTTGACAGCTGGACATTCTTATGCACCACAATACCGAGCATGTCACCGTTTCCCGCAGGCCAGTAATGAGTGGGACACTATGGTGTTAAAATTTCAAACTTATTATATGCAGTAAATTCAGTAGTTTTGCATTTCAAGGGTTGGAAATTATGCTATTCCAAATGGATGTTTAGCATTCACATCTGCTGTCAGTAGCGACTTACGTCTAAAGCTTAGGAGCTCAGTGATGTCTGTATCATTTCAGGCATGGCCTGGTAACATTCTGCTGCAAATATCACTTCAGTATTGACATTTGGTATGCAAACCTCTGTAGCTTCTACCGAAACAAATGGAGGCAGGTATATATCGTTGGGCGGAATGCCTCTTCTCACTGTAACAGCAGTTCCGCCTTTTCTCCTAGGAAAGTCGTCACTCCAATTGAAGTGATAATTTGGAATAAAGACACCCTCATGGGGTTTGAGACATGTCTCTAACATCAGAGCCACATCTTAAGTCTTGCAGCTGTTTATCGAGCCCACAGCACTGCATCCAAATGCTATGTGAATTAAATGTTATGACTCTGAGCAGCCTATGAACTCTAGCAACTATTTTGTTTCATTAAGTACCATTTTTGTAATTACCATTTTTTGTCCTTTTCTGACACAGCTTCATGGAGCTCTGTGATGATCTGTTGCACTACAGTGATGGCTTTTAACATGTTACTGTTAAATGAAATGGGAGCCTGTACCAACAGACCTGTTTTCTGAATTTCCTGTTATGGCAGATTCTGCTGCACACATTTCCCATCTGTCTGCTGTGCCTGTGATTGCCAGTGTTCAGTACCTTGAGGAAGTGCAGCTGCACAGGACTGATCTGGTGAGGCGAACTTATAGAAGAATGTCCTCTCAGATGATCCCTTTGGAGCTTGTGGTGCCCTTTTTCTTTGCAGTACTCCTTTCACATTGCTGCTACATGAGGTTTCTCTCCTTCAACTTCTTCCCCAGAGGATTTCTTTGGAGCTTGTGGTTGTCTTTTCCTTTGCAGTACTCCTTTCACATGGCTGCTACATGAGGTTTCTCTCCTTCAACCTCTACTACTCCTCTTTGAAGAGAGGATGATTTGGCCTTTTAGTGTGGAACCTCTGACTGAGCAGAGCAGCAGATCTCCTCCTCTTCCTCCCTCTCAGGTGGAGACTGAATATTGTGTTTTGAACGACTACCTTACACATCTGGGTGGATCAAAGAGAACATTAACTGTACCACACAAAAGACAGAGATGGCCATTGCTAGGCAACAGTAGTAAACACATCACTGCCACTGCTAAGCAATGGCACTGATGTCACTGTGCATGTGTATGCAAGTCCAAACATTTTTAGCCTGAAGTCACTATTTTAAAAAAATATATAAAAAAAAACAAAAGTAGGCTTATGAAATCACCTTGCTCTATGTATGTAACTCCAACCCCATCATTGCTAGGCAATGGCTTGGTAAACGTGTTCCCACGGCAATGAAAATACTTGCAGCAACAGAAGAATTATTGGACATATTTTCTATGCAGTGCATGGTGTATCAAAGGAAAGTAGGTGGCTAGTTCTTCCTGGAACTTCTTGTTTCTTTCTTTCTTCTCCTCCTGTTTTTGGAGCCGAGGGTGGGGATGGTGCAATTCTTTAAAGCAATTGAATCCACCCTATGCTAACAATTATTGTTATATTTTGTAATCTATCAATTTATACTTCTGCATCCTGTCCTATCATATTCCATTTTTTTATCTACAAGTTTATAAAGACTCTACAAATAACATACCTTGGAATGCTCCGTGAAGTATTCTCATTGTTACAATGAAATTTACTGAAGTTTCCTGTGCAGAAAACAGCCTTATAACGTGTGGCATCCAGAATGTGAACAGAGACCACCCTACAGCAGCAGTTAACATAACTTTATGGCCACCAATTCTGTCACTCAGGTAGCCACCCAACACTTGGGTTAGTGTATAACCCCAAAAGAAACTTGACAATACAGTGCCAGAGTCTGTCTTGCTCCAGTTTCTTTCCAAGGCAATTGCTGGAACTAGGAGTGGCACAGAGGTTCTACTGGCGTACAGAGCTGAGGTCCCGATGAAAAGAGTGCAGAGCCATTTTCGCTTCTCAGTTCTGAAATATATTATAAATTTCATAATTCTAGCCCATATAACTTCAGTTACATACACAGGCAGATTTCATGAAATCACACACTTAGATCCTTGAACTCTCCACTGTCTTGTACAAGATTCACAGAAAGTGTGTAAAATCAATAAATCATTCCACAGACAACTATACTGGATTCATGGATTGTAAGGATGATAGTGGTTGATGATTCTTCCTTTCTGTTTACTGGTGTATTACTGTACAACCCACTGTGGCATATGATGGGACGTCCTAAGTGCCTGTCACTAGCAAAGTTTACCACCATCAACATTTTTGCAAACAAAATGGCTGGACTAGAACATGCTGAAACTGTAAGCACAACAGCTGAAGGGACACATGGAAGAGACTGATCTACTTCTCTTTATGACCTTAGGATTGCAGAACTACCTTCCACACGCCCCAGTCATATAGGATCAGAATCACATGTTCACAGTCGTGCATTAACCTGGTCTGCCAACAAATCTGTATCTGAAGAAAGTTGTCTTCTGGGTTTTGGCGCCGTGTATTCTTCGTTTTGGCCAAAACGAAGAATACACGGCACCAAAACCCAGAAGACGACTTTCTTCATAGTCATCGCCATGAAAACCTCAAAACTTACAAATCTGTATCTGTTTAGCATTCATTCATTCATTCACCAATAATCTGTCAAGACAACAGGACCACAGTCTCTTCCAAAACAATTCCTCCACTTAATGCGATCTAGAGCTTTCTCCTTCAAATGACAGTATCCTCTTCTGTCCCCAAGGTCATCCAGCATCTTCTTACGTCTTCTTCCTCGTCTTCTTGTCACTTCTATCCGCCCATCTATCTTTCCT